GCCTCCAGAGTGATTTCCACATTCGTCTTCATAGATTGAGCTTAGAACCTTTAGGTCGTCGGGAGGCACTAGGCAACGAAGATGTGGTCCAGTGTAGGATCTTTGGACAAGAATGTCATTCCACATGTAGTAGCATGCTTCCTTTATTTAGAGCTTTCTAAACTCCAATCTTTTCATGGGGAGTGTGCCATTAACCAAGTAGTCTGTAATGGAATCTTGCCAGTTTGAAGTTGTACTAATCTGTGACACCTCGGCTGCTAGCTCCACCTCTATGCTTAGCTTGTCTAGATATTCCACCAGAATAGAGCATTTGAGTTGGTGGTCGAAAGCGAAGCCTAAGCCGGCTAGTGTGTCCATGTGAGCGTTGTCTGCCCGTGGAACTTGAGTGAGGTTGTAAGTCTGAAACTCCTCAAGAATTCTGGTTAGTGATTAGCTGGGAATCTGAATTAATTTCAAGCTTTTTCACCGCTAAATCTTTTACCATTCTGAGGCCTGCTAGTAAGGCCTCGTACTCTGCTTTGTTGTTGGATGCTTTAAAGCCTAGTGTGATCGCCTGCTCATGCATCTAACCTTCTGGGATGACAAAGACCACGTCTGCTCCCGAACCTTTTTAGTTAGATGCACTGTCGACATGCAAATGCCAGAAGTCTCCACCGAGTGGAGCAAATGAAGCTAAGGCGTGCTCGGCTACCTCTAGGGCATCATTGGGACTCTCTGTTGCATCGCTTAGGCTAGGCGTAAAGGCCCAGTAAGGAGTTATGAAGTCGTCATTAGGTCCACTTGTTACGTTGTGAATGCGTGGTAAGGAGCCATGGAGCTGGGCCTATATTACATGCAGCAAAAGATGCTCAACTGCTGATATTGGGCCATTCTAAAGTTGAATTATGGAGCAAGGGTCGGTTAGGGCCGTGTGACACGTAGCAAAAGGTGGTGTTCAACTGGTGGTACATGTTGCTCCTATGTAGAATCTTTTGGGGGATGGGTACAAAACTTGCTTCCTAGTATGTCCTTCTAGTGTTTGTCTGCCTTGGCGTACCTCTTGGGTCGAGTTATTGCGTTTGTCAGAAAACTTTGCACTCACTAGTGTCTACGCCTTTATCGTCGCGCATCTGATTGGGCAGAATAGTGCGTCATGAGGATAATTGTGCATGTCTTAAGGTAAAACTTGAGCTTCCGAGTTGCAACAACTATCGCCAAAGTTAACTTTTGAATTTCTAGTAGCATTGAGGAGAGCTTTTGAATTGTGGAATGCTGGTAGTCGGGCCCCCAGCTCTTCTCGTATGATGGTAAAGCTTATTGCTGCTTCAGATACCATCAAACTTGCAAATAAGTCATCCGCTACTTCCAATTTGGATAGTAGGGAGGTGATGTCAGGTTCTCTTTCAAGTCCTTGCATCTGGATTGGCGAGCCTCGTCCTAAATGCATGCTTCTCTGTCAGAGCGAAAGAGTTTGCCAAAGTTAGATCTTCTTTCATGATCAATTTTCTGAACAATGGGTGGTCTGTTGAAAGTCCTTATTGGAAGGCTGCTTTAGCTATCGAGTTGTTGCATTCGACTATCTTTGCCTTCTCTGCTTTGAACCTCTTCACATAGTCATGAAGCGACTCTTTTGGGTTCTTTTTTACGTTGAACATGTGGTCAAACTTTTTCTTGATTGAGCGATAGGATAAATATTATTTGTTAAAAACCAAAAAATTCGTCGAAACTCCAGATGGATTATGGTGGCAGGGCGTAAAACCAATCTTGCACCTCGCCTTGTAAAGTGGTGGTGAATATCTTACATATGAGATCGTTGTTGTTTCGATGGAGGATCATTGCACTTCAGTAGTGCTTTAGGTGTCTCTCCAAGTCTCCATCCCCTTTGAAGGATGTGAAATGTGGCATGCTGAACTTGCACGGAGGCTCTACCTACTCGATCTCGTCCATGAAGGGTGACCTGCTTATGTTGGTCATGTCTCATCGTAATGCCTCGTTAGTGACCTTGTTGCGTTGGAAATCGCGCAATCGCTCAGTCATGAGCCTTTTTACTTCTTCCTAAATTTGCCTTTGTTGGGGGTAATGGGGCTCTCGGCTGCCCCCGGTCGTGACCTACTGGTCTAGGCTGCTCTTCTACGTGCTCGACTTGTCTATGCTTAAGCTAGATTGAGTGACTGTTTTTCTCCGTCCTTCATGCTGCCTACTCCGAAATGAGATGAATGATGTTCATTGCGGGCCTAGCAACGAATGAACACTTCACTTGGAAAGTTGTTCATACTGAATATCGGAGTGTGGCCCCAACCGTGAATGTATGCTCATCTGTGGGCCTAGTCGATAATGCACATTCCTCCGCGCACTGAGACGGGAGTATACGCTATCTAAGGGGCCCAATCGGGAGTGTACACTGTCCGAACGCTCAGTTCATGGCTGGTTGAGTGGCTGTTTGCCAGGACACTGCTGGAAAGGTTCTTCGTTTGCCCTTGTCCTACTTCAGGACACCTCGTCTGGGGCACATTGCATCTCGGTGTGTTACAAGAGCTGATTCACAAAGGTCGTATGTTGTGCAAGGGCACTCGTCAATTCTATAACTTATCGAGACAAGTGTTGTTCTCCATTTGGGTTGGAAAAGCTTGGAAGGAATATGTCTCTTTAAGCAGTGGAAGTGTGGTAGACTCCGGGCACAAGATTTAAGTTGGGAAATGTCAAATCTACGGAGAAATATGGTAAAAATGTCCCTGGTTCAATCGTATGCCCAAAAATGTGAAGTCAGGATGATTGAACTAATCTTGGACCGATTTGGGCTGCTTGGAAAGCCACGGGAGCAGGCTGAGTCGTGGGTGCAAGCTGGGCCGTGGGAGCAGGCTGGGCCACTGGAGTGAGCTGCTCGGCGTGTGGCACACGCGGGTACGATGCTTGGGCTTGGCTTGGCAACGCATTGGGCTTGCATTGGGTTTGGACGGCATAGGGCGGCTCGGCTAGGGCTTAGGCCCTTGAAGGTTGAAGTGGCACAACTTGGGCCGTGGCCTTGGAGTCATGGGTTTTGCTAAAGGTGGCCGCCGTGGTGGTTCCACGATGGTGCCTATTTGAGGTGTCGCTCCGCTCATCGTTATGTTAAGCCTTGTAAATCACCGTGGTATCCTTGAACATTGGAATTTTCGTTTGTCGAGGTTTCCGAATCTCTTGCCATTGTACTTTTCTTTTACGTTTTATCAAAGAATTTTTAGAAATAAAAATTCCAAGAATAAAAATGTACGAAAAATCTACCAAGTAAGCAAAGAAACAAAAAAACCTTAGATGCGAGAGTCTTCTACAAGCATGTGACTCGACTCTCAATGAAAGCGCCAATTTGTGGATGCAAATTTCTTCCTCCTTGTTCTTGGACAAAATTGCACATATAAACAAACAACACCTTAGGTCAAGGCCAAAAGCCTCACATGCCCACGATGAATGGTGGGCTTTGGCCGAAAAACCTCTGATGCCAAGGTTAAAATTTTGAGGGAAAAGTGTTTGGAGAATTTAGAGAATTTAGCAAGAGTGTAGAACTTAGGTTTTGGAGAAAATGAGGGTGTTTATAGAGAGGTGTGGCCGACCCCTTTGGGGGGAGATGGACCGACTACTTGGATGATTTTTTGGGTGAGATTCATGATTTGTAGCTAATTAATAAATTAATTGAATAATAAATCAATTAATTAGCTAATTAATATAATTTGAAAGAAAAGATTTGGGGGTTACCTTGTGGAGAATATTTGATGAGGATGAATGATATAGGTTTTAAATAAATACATATTTTGGGCACTTTTGACTTGATTAAGAGATGGTTGTCCACTCCTCGCGCGTAGGAGTTCCAATATTCCTCGAGGGTAGTTTTGTCATTTTCACCCTAGAATCCACGTGACACCTTCATATTCTTCTTGATTATTTTTGGCTCCACAAAAGACATGTTTATTGACACAAAATAAAAAGTAAAATTCCCAAACTGAAAAACAATTATAATTTGAGTTGTTTTTAATTTTCTCTTTCCACATGATCTCGTTCTTTTCTTTTTTTTTTTTCTTTTTTTTATTTTGGTGGCAAATTAAGATTATGCTTTATACAAAAGAGAATGACTTATCTGCAACACATTTATACTATTGTAGTGTCTCAAGCCAATAATATCATGTAATATGTAAGTTTCTCTCCATATGAGGTAAATTTATTAGACCATAACACTACGTCACGGTGAACCTGCTCTGTACAAATTGCTCTCCATGTGGAATCTTGACTTGGGTAAGTCGAAGAAACATGGCAACCAGCTGTTCTTTTGCAGTGTTTGTACCAAACATGCTAGTATACGAGAATAAAGTTGCAAGCATCAACTTTTCGTCTCCCAAAGCTTTAGTTTTTCCACAGATAAGATCCTTCTATGTACTAAACTTGCAATGAAGTGAAAGTCATGGTTCAAAGTTATTTCCACAGATGTGATCGTTCCATATGCCAAACTAAAAGATCCTTCTATATACTAAACTTGCAATGAAGTTAAAGTCATAGTTCAAAGTTATTTCCACACATGTGATCGTTCCATATGCTAAACTTGCAATGAAGTTAAAGTCATAGTCCAAAGTTTTTCCTCGTAATGTGTAAAGGCTTCCACAAACCATTCTAAACTTCCTTCGTACACTGGCACCGTAACATCCCATGCCAATAACACAATGTCATCCGGTAAAACTAAAACACATGACATTGCGTTATTTGTTTGAAATGCAAGAGTAGCGTGCCGGAGTATGTAAGTCCTCACCATGCAGATAAAGTCATTGGCTGCACTAGTTGCTCAGCAAAGTTCAGAACCAAATATCTCTGAGCAAATGCTTTAGAACCTATATTATTTGTTAAAAGCTGAGATTCTAAAGTAAACATATACTATAAAATGCAGAAACTAACATAATAAGTATTCAAAAACAGCCAGAGTTGTTTAGAAGGGTACTTGGTAAAATAGCCTGAGAGAAAGCATAGTTTCCACGGTGAGAGGCATAGTTTCCATGGAGGAGGTTCGGATCAGTTCTAAGGAGGAGAGATTCGAAAAACTGAGGAAAGCACCAGAAGCTCCAGATTATAGCTCAAACCCAAAGATCCAAAAGGTACCCTTCATGCTCCGCAAGCCCAAAACTTCCGAGAAGTATTACGAGCCGAGGGCCGTAGCAATAGGCCCTTTCCATCATGGCAATCCAAGGTGCGAGCTGGCTGAGGAATTCAAGCTTATGTTGACAAAAAGATTTCTTAAATACACTAGCCAAACAGTTGAAGCTCTGCATCAGAAGGTTGAGAAGAAGATCAAAGAACTACGGGAATGTTACGCCGAGGAAGCGACACAGACCTATGATGATGAGACCCTCGCTTGGATGTTGTTCTTAGATGGGTGTTCAACCTTACAATTCATACACTCCTTTGTGGATGAAGAGTTGGAAGAATTGTCGATCAAAAGGGACCAGATAGCCTTTGCACAACAGGACTTGTTCTTGCTAGAGAACCAAGTCCCTTATCAAGTCCTCGAGCTGTTGATGAGCTCAAGCAACAAATGCGAGGATTTGAAGAAGGCGATCGAGACTTACGTTCAGGCAAACATTGGTGCACCTGGAAAGAAGCAATCGGAAAAGAAAGTAGCAATAACCATGGAAAAAGAGAAAGAGCCCGCTCATCAAGAGAAAGAGCCCGCTCATCTTCTTGACCTTCTCCGAACAAGAATGCTAGGTCCACCAAAAAATCCCGATAAGCGAGCTAAAGACCACTCCGTACAATCTTTTCGCAATGTACAAGAGCTTGATGCAGCCGGGATCCATTTTAAGCTTAGTAACAGTAGCCTTTTGGGGGACATATCTTTTGTTTCTCATTCCTTTGCAGGATACCTTAGTCTTCCTGCAATATCAGTAGATGACTCAACAGGGCCTAAGTTCATGAATCTGATAGCATATGAAATGTGTCCTGATTTCCAGAATGATTTTGCGGTCACCTCTTACATCAGCTTCCTTGATGCACTCATTGATCATGCAGATGATGTTAAGGAGCTAAGGTCAGCCGGTGTACTTTACAACTTACTGGGGAGTGATAAGGAGGTGGCTAAGCTCTTTAATGAGATTGGCACTGACTTGGTCCCTAACACTGACATATACCACGATGTCAAAGCCGAAATAGAAAAACACTACAAAACCAAGTGGAAGACCTGGATGTCTCAATTCTGTCACGATCATTTCAGAAGCCCCTGGACTTTCCTGGCTTTCGTGGGTGTTCTAGCAGCACTTGGGTTAACCGGCATCCAGACTTGGTTTGCAGTCTATTCTCCATCGTCTCCCTGTGATGTCGTTGCCAGAACTTGAAAATGCGGTGGAACCTTAAGTGAGATAAAGGTAATAGAAATACATATGATTTCTATCACAAGTGTTTTCTTCAAGGGTCTGCTGATTTGGTATGTTCAGGGTCCATACAACCCTGGCTTTTCATTTCTCATTTGCTTTACTGTGTGCTGGTATGACAAAATAAGTATCTTAATTTTGTTGGACTTTGTCAGCGTGTGGTTGAATTTTGTGTGTGACAAGCGTATTTGTACGCTCATGTAATAAACAATGTGATTCCCTACTGTTTCCTACTTATCTGTTGCTGCAAAATAACTAAGCAGGTTACACATAGGAAGCAACTGTTTATAAGCGTTTCCAGAAACATTTTACAAATCTTAGTTACGTGCGCACCATTCGGAGCTGAACCAGAATCAGCTCAATTCTACATTTTAAGTTCCATAAGACCTCAATTATCCCAATCTCAAGAAAAAGATTGTTCTGAATCCAAAACATTTTAAGATCACCTATCAGGGCAAATGAAGCTCTATAGTTATACTTTATGATTATAGGACTATACAAAAGAACAATTTGTATCTTGTTTACTGTAAATATATGTACTAAAGACCCCCAAACAGTTATAGTTTTGAAATCAAACAAATTTCTACGATTTAACTTCTCTATGTTAACTAATTTCTGCAGCAGTTTGAGATCACAACTAATTTCAGTTATACTCTCTCTTCAAAACTTGATCTGCAAATGCTAACTGGCTCTTCATAGGTGATGTCATACAACAAATAGAGAACAATTTGAGTTCATTTTATATGAACCACTTTTTGTGGCCCTTCGAACTCCAGATCAACTTAAGTCACTTCTAGCTCTATCCTGAAAACCTGACCTATAACTGATAATTTGTAGGTGAATAATATCAAGGTAACAGTAATAAGAGTATTATCTCCCCCTTTTTAACCCCCTTAAATCCTAAACGAAGAAATCTAACCTTAATAAATGGAACAGTATGAAACAAAAACAACGGTGGCTTGCATGTAAGACAACAAGATTACAGTGAAAGCTGAAATATTTAAAGCCATTTATATCCACAAGAGTTTCTACAAGAGCTAAGGGTTAGACGTAAGAATATATCAGCATTATAGATGGTTTATTTTTGTTTCTGAAGAGTAGCTAACTCATAATAGTTGGTTGACAACTATTAGCAACAGTAAGTATCTTTGATATGGAAATTCACCAACATAACTTTCATATTACAAATAATATCTGTCACCCTAATCTCTATCCTGTATCAAGTTGTTGATCATCTTTACCAAAGGAGGAGTCCCCTTGGCCATAATTTCTATTCTACTAGCATTAGAAGCATGAGAAAACAGTGAAAGCCCGAAAAATACAAGATCGGGAAGAAACAGTCGAGATGACAAGAATCCATGCCAATAGCGGGGTTCTAGGTCAAAAAAAGCATTGAAAAACCTCCGAGTACCTTTCAAATCAAGCTTAAGCAGAATAGCCATACCGAAACAGAAGAACTCCCTTTGTCTCCTCCTTTGTATGGGCCATAAATCTTTCCAAATTTCTGCGGACACTTCATTTCCTGAAAGTGTTCTATCTGAACCAAGGTACCGAACTATTGCATTTGCAACAATAGGAGCCGCTGCCAGAGTCCGCGCCACCATATACCCAGTTGAAGGGTGCACCATCCCTGCTGTACCACCGATTCCAACAACTCTCTGAGGGAGCACCGGGAGCGGTCCGCCCATTGGGATGACACAATGCTCATCCTCCTCAATGCTCTTAACTTTTATGCCCAGATGCTTTAACCTAGCGGCCATCCTTTCTTGGATATCTTTCATGGGTAAACCAGGCCGAGCTACCAGGGAAGTTTCTTCGAGAAATATCCTGTTGGATGAAAAAGGCATTGCATAAAGGAAAGTAGGGATCCTACCATTTCTCTCCTTCAATTCGATATTATTGTTCAAGTGCGAATCTCTCCAGTCCATAAAAAGCATCTTATCAACATCAAATGGATGCTCTTCAACCTCCGCCAAAATCCCATAAGCCACTTGGTAACCTGGATTGTACGGCTTATCATACTGTACAAGACATCTTGAAAAACCAGTTGCATCGAGAACCACAGAAGCTTGAATTGTGACACCGTCATTGCAAGTCAACAGTGATTTTTCCTCCTCATGAATAACCTTAGTAACTTTAGCTTGGTGAAATTTAACACCGTTTGATATGCATTTTTGCAGCATTTTCGACTTAAGCTGCTTCCGATTAACCCTTCCATAAGGTCTATTAAGATCCTTCTTCGATTCCTCGTCTATGTACACAACAGCACCAGACCAGGTAGTATCCAGGCAATCAAGCATATCCATGGCCTCAAATTCATCCACCCAAACACCATAATTATTGGGCCAAATCAACTTGGGAGACGGGTCAATTGAGCAAACAGAAAGGCCTGCCTCCGAAACCTGCTGTGCCACGGCGAGCCCGGCAGGGCCACCGCCCACAACAGCTAGGTCCACAACAAGACCCTTTGATGGGTCATACAAAGGAAGCTCAAATTCAAGACTTTCCTTCTTAATTTCCGGCACAAGCTCCAGAAGAGCACTGCTACTAGCCTTAACAACACCACCCCTACTCAATTTCACACGAGACCTCCTAAGGCCATACCCAAACTCCTCGTTGCGAAGCTTCGAAGAGCTCGAACTACTCAATTTCTCCGAAAACCCATGAATTGGGTGCAAAAATGCAAGCTTGTTATGCGTTTTAAGCAATGTATCCATGAAATTCCAACACTTGTCCCGAATATCTCTCTAATATGGACACAACAAGTTCCTGAAAATACAATCTGGGTGTGAAGAATTCTCGACTGAGAACCCGATTTCTGATATGGGTTTTCTCTGAGAAACTGAATTTCACATACAGATACAGGAAGAGCTACTAGAAGAGCAGTATTAAAGCATGAACAATCCTTACAATTCGAAAAGATTTTCTGGGAATTTAGAAAGAACAACACAAGTATGAAAATATACAAAGAAGGAAGCTCATCAGTGAATTGAAAGAGCAGAGAAGTGATTGCTTACCGAAGAGCCAAGAGAGATGAGAAAGTTCCCAAGAGATATTGTGAAGGTGAAGCTTATGTGGGTGTGGCCGGTCCTCAACCTCAAGGACGACAAGCTCATGTGGGTTTGTGGTGGACGTCCACTGTTCTTCGTCCAAGTTGGGACACGCGTCCTGTGATCTTCATTTGTCTCTTCTTCAATTCTCCATGCTTTAAAAAAATTATTATAACTTTAAAAAAAAAAAAAAACATTAACGTTAAACAAGGAGCAAGGCTACGAATATTAAATTTAAAGACAACAATTTGAATGGTTTAAATATCAAAATAGTTCATGTGTTATAGCTATATGATCAATTTAATTTTCGTATTTTTATTTGGCTAATTTAATCTTGATGTTTGTCTCTATTAACTAATTAAAGACATTTCAACTAATCTCTTTTAAAAAAGATTTAGATGTCAAAATAGTCTATTTGTTATAGTTATATGGTCAATTCAATCCTCGTATTTTCGACTTGGCTAATTTAGCCCTCAAGTTTGTCTCTTTTAGCCAATAAAAGACATTTCATTCAATCACTTTTAAAAAATTCATAAAAAAAATGATATAAAATATAATTACTCATTCTCTTTACATAAGAAATATTTTATATGATTAACACATATAAAAGATAAAACTTCTAATATGAAAAAATGATTAAGGTTGTGATGTAGAAGAGAGAGAGAGTAATGTTAGGGAGGAAGCCGGGAAGTTGAGAGGAGAATAATTGTTCTTTTAATTTTTAATTTTATTTCAAAATGAAATATTTTAAATCAAATAATTATAATTTTATAAATAAGTATATATCAATTTATAATTTTTTTTACAGAAATTACATGGAAATGTCTTTAATCAACTAACGGAAATAACATAAAAATCAAATTAGCCAAATTAAAAACACAAAAATTAAATTGATCCAATAACAAAACATAAGACCATTTTATCATTTAAGCCAACTTGAAAACTAAAAAACATGTTGAATTGTTGATTATACTTTAATAATAACCCTGTGTGCCCAAAGCTACATGAACCCGGTTACAACTTCAACCCCCTGAATTTCTGCCTGCACACGATCATCTATCAGATCTAACTACCTAATCGCATCAGCCCACGTTTCCAATCTCACCAAGGCAGTTCATCGCAGAAACGCAAAAAGAAACAGAAAGAAACTGCGAGAAAAAGAGAGAAAAATGCGAGAAAGTTAGCGAAAAGCAATCAAAATCAGATATGGGTAGCTCAGCCGCCGGAGAGGACTTCTCTGTGGTGGTTCTAGTGTCCGATCTGGGCATAGACGCGCGGCTGTTCTTGAACCACCAAGACAGAGAGATTGAAGAGCAAGAGAATTGGTACAACTGCCCTCAGAACCTTATCTCCGACGAGGACTTCTCCGACCTGGAGCTTTTGCAGTTCTTTCGTGTCCAAGGCCATGACAAGTTGGGAAATCGGATTTTCCGAATCGTGGGATAATATTTTCCCGGTAAATAAGCAGATCCTTACACTCTTTATTTGTTTTATTTGTTGTTAATTGTGTATGAATTGTTATTGTTTGGTTAAATTAGCTGATGGAATGAACACTGATTTCTCTGCTGAAATGCGATGTTTTAGCTCTCCATACCTGAGTTAATTGCTAAATAGCATGTTCTAGTTTATTTGGCATCTGGGGTTTGTTTGGTTTCGTAAATTTTCTGCGTTTGTTTGGGTAATTGTAATTGGGGTTTATTAATTTTGGTGTGCTCTGTCAAGTTAAAACCCCTTTGGCCTCGTTTTGGGCTGGTTTGGTATGTAGGATTGGATTGGATTGGAATGCGTAACTCTCTACTTTTAAGGCATATTGGAGGCTGAAGTGAATGATTTTTCATTTGGAGGGGGATTAGAAGAGGATTAGACATGAAGAAAACTCATCCCTTCTAATCCTACCATTTTGTGAAGGATTGGAATGGATATGTAGTCTATCTTCTACCATCAAGCTGGACATAAATTTTTCATTTCTCCCCCAACGTACTTTGAAATTACGGAGATATCCATTCCAATCCAATCCTACTCACCAAACGAGGCCTTTCTGTCTTGAATGTATAACCCACTATATTAAAGATATGTTGAACGAAGAAATGGAAAGGTTGTGCCTAACTTGGAGGTAGAGGATAAATCAATCATTAAGGTACCGTTTGGTACGTGGGACAGGACGGAACGGAGTGGGACGAGGCGTTCCGTTCCACGTTTGGTGCGCCTAAAACGGGTGGAACACGCT